AGAGAAATCTGGTATTCAGAACTAGGAGGACCTCTGCTCCATCAGGATAAGTGAGACACTGGCACATCCAGATGACCTGCAGAGGCAACCCACCAAAGGATCACAAGGAAGGATGGGTCCTTGTGCTGCATCACGGCATCTCCCCTACTTACTGCCAGGGGACACCTACTGTCACAAATGACCATGAGTGGTCCATTGAGCACCTTTAGGTGGAATGAAGTCACCTAACAAATTTGCCGCTGGTCTTAGACACAAGTTGCCTTTCAGGTCACCTTCTGCATTAGGGACTGAAACTCAACCCAATGACAGCAGTGCTGACACGCTGCTCGTTTCAGAGCTAACGGGCCCGGGGTAATTAACGTTTAGGTCCCCATCCAAACCTCGTAAGCTGCCCAAGAGCCTCCAGACGCTCATGCACCTGGAGCTGACTCAGAGGGCTTTTCCTCTGCCACTCCTGGTGATCTCATGGGTGCAACCAGCCCGAATTCACCACATCTTTGCACCTCTCTTTGCCAAGCTTACCTGCCTCTGCTGCTTGAGTCAACCATCTTTTATAAACAGACTGCTCCCTCTGAATTTCACATGCTGGATCTTAATATAGTTCAGAATAAGGAAACCAGCTTCACGAACGCGCTGGTGGCATGCTGGGCTTTGGCACCCGAGGTTCTTAGCTGATTTTTTTATTAATTTGTTTTGAAGAAGCGAGACAAAACCACTTACGGTATTCCCAATGATTTGGCAGTTTTTAGGGGTCTGTTATTCCTCTAACGAAACACACTCAATTCCTTCTGCTCTGAAGTACCTCGCTTGCCCCAACCACCTCTGCCACGTCCTTCCTACCCACCGAGACTCCTCTGCTCAGGAAACTCATCTCCTCCAGCAGCGTTGTCATTACAGTGGTTCCCTTGGACCTTGCCTAGCCCAAGTCCTTGGCTGATCTCTCTCTTGGAAGAGCAGCTCTCACCATCAGGAAGCTTTTCCCTCATCCAGCTCCTCCGCGTTACCCCTTCTGCCTCACCATTATCACCCCACCCCTTACTTCACTTCTGCAAACAAGGCACTGACACAGCTCTCCCTTCAGTCATTTCTGCATGTTTACTTAGGTTACTCTTTACCTCGTCATCCTCCTCCATCCTTCAAGATCACCTCGGCAAACCCCATGAATGGGTGCCTGAGGCTACCCAGAAATATATTTTCTGGGGCCCTGGTTTTCTAAACACACCAGATCTGGAAGAAACGGATGCCCACCACCCTCCAGAGGACAGATGTTGCCCATCACAATGGCAGCACCATTTAAAAAAGGTCTCATATGAACATGGTGGACAGAAATGATACCTTTCGGAGTGAGCAGAAGTGTCAGTGATGGGAGGCACGGGGAACAGCGACACTCGTCAGGCATCGCGACGAATCGGCGTTTCTTCACTGGAGAACCTGTGTCTTTTCATCTGCGACCTAACAAGTGTCCTTCTGAAGATGTCCTATGCTCACTGTTTGGAACGGGGCTAAGGCAACTGCTACAGCAGGGAGCCCACTGCAGTGGCTGGCAAGTTTATCAGTCCTTGAGCACGTGGCCATGGCAGAATCAACCACTCCATAGACAGTCTGGATCCATGTAATAATCTGAATTTTGGTGACGGCTGCTGATGGCAAGTGATGGATGTGGGAAAGCCCCAAAGCAATAGTTTCATTGATGTAACCAAGGGAAAAAACTCATTTTGGTGGCTCATGACAGACAATCAATGCCAGGATAAAGGCAAGAGCTACCCAGTGGCAAGAAGGGCACATCTAACCTTCTGCATGTCCCCTGGCACCCCCATGTCTCCCTCCACAAGGGACCTTCTGAACTGCGATGTCCTCCTGCAACTCTGGTCTTGGGCTGCTTCTGCAGGTGGCCCCGCTTCTCCTTCAGGGTTTGTCAAGATGTGGCTTATTTTGAGCTATTTTCTGTTTGCTCGCCCACTTTCCTTCCCACCACCGCTGCAGCTCGCACCTGCTCACCACCAGCCTCTTCGAGCCCGAAGAGCTTCTCCCCTGGTCTGGCAGCAGACCTTTATCCTGCCACTCAGGACTTTCTCGGCATGGAAAACCAGGCATCTTGCTGCGCAGGCATTGCCAAACACGCAGCACAGTGATAGAACCCAGACTTCAGTGTCTCCTTTGCCAGATGGGTGCTCTTGAAGCAGGCTTAGGGCCAGCACGGAGCTGTTTCCCTGATAATTCCCAGAGAATCTGTTTCATAAGCCAAGATTTAAAGAAGGGTGATATTATCCATTGATTCTTTAAAAAAAAAAAAAAATCTATCTATCTATCTATCTAGATATCTCCTCCTTGCTCAGGAACATCTGGGCTTTCTTCAGCAGACGTGTCCTTCTGGCATGTTTGGGTTTTGAGGCTGGTTTTGGGGGGTGACAGCCCTTGCTCAGGGGTGTCCAAACTCCTGCTGTCAGCCAGGGCCACCCGGAGCAGAGGACATCAGCCGGGCAGAGGCTCTGCTGGACGGGCAGAGGCAGGCAGGGGAGCAGGAAGGCAGCGGGACATCAACGGCGGCGATGAGCAAGCGGGGCAGGGCCGGGCAGCGGCAGCACGACAAGGAAGTGCCGTCATGTCTGGCCTTGCCTTGCCTGCACCCTGCCCTTACCGGAGGGGTGGGACAGACAGACAGACACGCGGAGCCGAGGGAAGGCGGCATTGCCATCCCATCACCTTCTCCTCTCTGACCCACCACTGGCTGTTGGGCTTTGCTGGGGACCATGGTGGGAATTTTTTTTTTTTTTTTTTTTACATGACATGAAGTGAGGGAGAACCTGGCTCAGCAGCCCCACGAGGTCAAGTCCTCTGAACTTCAGCCTCCCCAGAGCAGCCCATGAAGTCCCCAACCTCCATGAAGCCCCAAGCAGCTCGCTCTCTCCCACTCTGCTGAGAGAAGCACCCCAATGATCTTCACCCAGCCGTAAAGACCCCGGCTGGTAACTAGTGCTGCTCTGGCCAAGTCCTTCCCATTGCCACCCACTCGCCCGCTGCCAGCCTCTTGCTTCTCCAGAGAGGACATGAGAGATGATAGAGGAAATCAGAGGAGAAAAAAAAAAAGCCACCAGAGCATGGCCCAGTGACTCCTCTGCAAAGTCCCTCCTCTTCCACCTTGGGGTCAAGGCTCAGCCCTTCCACCCTCGGGTCACGGCTCAGCCCACTCTGAGCAAGGAACATGAGGAAGGTGTTTCTACCTGGACTTCAAAACGTGAATAAAAGTTTAGCAAGCTGGAAGCAGCAGTTCTCACACTCCCTTGGGTCCATCTGCTCCTCCCTGCAGTGGATAGCAGCACATTGCCCTCAAAAAACTCCTGTTTCAGACCAAATCTACGCAAGTCTAGAGCTTCATCTCGATTTGGAACTTCACCTTGGCTTCACGGGACAAGCACTGATGCTGTGTGACCTGAAAAAAAAAATTAAAGAGCACAGACTCGTTTCCTAAGCCGAGTATTTTAGCCCCAGAACGGTTAAGAGGCTCCATGCAAGGTCAGCACTGTCCCACCACCCAATTCTCTGCTCCCCGATGGCACCCTACAGTCCAGCTGAAACATCAGGTTTTACCAGCCAGGATTTGCTCAACGAAAAAGAAAAAAAAAAATTATTTTAGAAAACAAATGTATTTGTGGCATTTATAACTGAAGAACAAAAAGCTGAAGCTAAACAAATGGAAATCAAACAAATAACGAGAACTTACCAACTGAGAAGGGGTTTGGTCTGGTGCAAGTTCCTGAGGCATGTGCATTTTCCTCTGCTAAGAAAAATAAAAGAAATCCAATCTGCAGCTGTAAAACGGGTGAGATTGTAGAACTGCCCCGTCTTAATCCCAATAATCTGTCCTGACATCAAGGCCAGGTTGGACGAGGCCCTGAGCAACCTGATCTAGTTGGAGATATCCCTGTTCCTTGCAGGGGGGTTGGACTAGATGACCTTTGGAGGTCCCTTCCAGCCCTAACCATTCTATGATTCTATGACATTAAAAACTTGCTTAACTGAGGAACACAATTTAACCTGGGCTCCGGCAGCCAGGACTCACGGACCACCACAGAGGACTCGGACTTTTGGCAGCTCCTGGTCGAGAAATTTCAGCTTCTTTATCGAGGGGTTTTGTTTTCCTTCCCAGGAGCCCCATCTTTTTCCATGTGCTCAGCTGAAAGCAGAAAGGATTTTACCTTTACATTGCAAAAGCAGCACCCCCCAACTCCCCGGGGCTTTCCAGGAGGACAGCGCAGCTCCAATAGCATCAGCACCACCACCACCATCTTATTTTTTTGTTTGTTTTTAAGGCCTGGAAAACCAGTAGCATAAAATTCCTTGTAGCCATGGCAATGGAGCAGTGGACATGGGGAGAAACCATCATCGCTACAGCCATCTGCAGCCCACCACATGAATTCCCAAATTACTTTCCGCTTTCTCCCACCCTCAATCCAGCTCATCTGATTAATTAAGCAAGAGGCAAATCTTACAACTGAGACACAGCCCCGCTTCCCTATCCCAAAAAAAAGCAATATTCAAAAAGAACGCCAAGGTATATAAGGGGTTACAAATATTCAGACTTTATTATAAATAAGAAATACTGTTTTATACATAAAAAACTGCAAGTGTTGCATTTTGTTCACCGCCCCAGACAGCAAGACCACAGATTAAGGCAAAAAGCTGGAGTGAAGGCACGTACTGAGGGGGCCACAGTCGGGAATGGGGTGATGAAGGCACTGGCACGCGTCGCCCGTGACACCCAGCGCTCCACCAGCAGCTCTCGCATCATCACATTACGTAAAGAAATAACTGGACTTATACAATGAATAATGGCTGTAATGCAGTAGTGATTAAGAGATCGCTTATAAAGATTTTTTTTTTTTATTTAAAAATAAAATTCTGTTAAAAACAGCTTAAGGAAAAAAAAAAAAAAAAAAGAGAAGAAAGCAGGAAACCTTAGGCCTGAGGTCAGCCAGGGCATGCGCGCATCTTGGCATCTGCTCTTCTCACAGCCTTGGCAGAGAGGTGACGCGGTTACAACCAGCCATCCGACCAGAGTGGCTGGCCAAGACACCGACCTCGACACTCCACGCACGTGGGCGAGCACAGGGAAGCTCTCCTCCAGGTATTT